AAGAGGACAGAAAAGAAATTTAAATGTGTAAGTATGGAATTGACATTAGTAATACTACTAAAATCTAGGATTGGCAAAGAGATTATAAGAAAAAATCCTAAGACATACTCAACGGTTTTGTTTTCTGACCTTAAAGAATCAGATCCCACAGCAGTAAAGAACATCTAAATCTTGGGAACCAGCAGTTAGCGTAATGGCTGTGTCGCTGGACTCCCACGTAGTCGACCGCGGTTCGTGTCCCAGACCCGGTCGCTTAAAACTCACACCGGGCTCGTGTGCGTGTGTGCCCAAGATCCCAAGAGGAGAATGGAGGAGAAGGGATTGCGGCGTGACCATCCCCCCTGGGGGGTGATTTCTCGCTTTCTCTCTCTATGTCTCTCTCTGTCTGGCGAGTGCACGCGCCCTATAGCAAAAACCTCTCAAAAAAAAAAAAAAAAAAAAAGAACACCTAAGTCTTTATCAGTATTGTCTACCACTCCTGAAAAACCAGACTCAACTCAGGCAGGCAAGTCACTTCTAGAGACAAGATACAGCTCTGAGCAAGTGCGGCCGTCACTGTGCCCTGGCCTGGCCTTGTCTCCAGCCCGTCAGGGTGCTGGCTACACAGGGGCCCAGCAGCAGGTTCTGGTGGGTTGTTTCCCACGGGGCCGGATTTAATCATTCTGTCATAAACTTGAATAACCAACTAGAAAGTCGTATTACGTATAAATAAGACAGTGGGGATGACAGCATACATAAGGAAAAGACCTAAAAAGCTTTGGACCAAAATGAATGGATGCTAAAATCATAGCACACGTCAGGAAGGAAGTTTGCAATCTTCAACAGAGTAATTCGAGCCCGCTCCCGGGCATCTGTGCAAGCCCGCTTCCTGTGCCACCTGCTTCTCCACTGATAAAACAAACAGCTGGACTAGAGGACCTCTAAGGACCATTCCATCTTAAAAATCTGTGGAATATTTAATACTCATTTTTCTCAAGGTTCGACATTCTGTACTTGAGTCTTCCTTTCGGATTGCCTCCTTTTCTCCCCCTCTTTCTCTGCTATAGGGTGCATGTGCTTGCCAGAGAGACTGAAAGCAAGAAATCACCCTCCGGGAGGATGACCACACCACAACCCTTTCTCGTCCATTCACCTCTCAGATTTTGGACATGTACACACACGCCCCCAGCACGAGTTCACGCTGCTGGGTCTGGGACTTCAACCATGGTCGACCACGTGGGCGTCCAGCAAGGTAGCCGTTGCGCCATCTGCTGAGCCTCCCCCTTTCCTCCCCTAAAAAGTGTATTTCCTTTCTCCACGAATGCGAGCACGAGGGAGGTCTATCAGGTCTCCTTGACCCCATCTCTACCCTCACCCCGGCCTGCAGCCACCAGGACCGTGCAGATGCCTGTGGGTGGCCTGGTGCTCACAGACCAGAAGGCGAGCCCAGCCCGTATTGCACGCCCACTCGGGATGGGGCAGTTTCCCTTTAAGTAGTTTCATTATTCCCTTTTATGATGGGCAAGCTAGTTTAGAGCACAGTTACCCAAAAGACTCCAGCCATGAAGTCAAACTCCTATCTGAGCTGTAACTCTCACTCCACCTAAATGCTAAGCCTGACCTGCTACGGTACAATGAAACAGAGCCAACTTTAGAATGCTCACAGGGTTGGTGATCTTTCTTAGCAAGACCACGCTGGACTACAAAACCTTCAAGGAAGAAATTAACATTTATCTTAGAAAACTCAAACACTAAAAATTAAGCAACTTTCTGAATGATTTATCAACAAATGATAATTAATACAGTAACAGTCTAGCCTTGTGTTCAGTTCAGCTTAAGTAAAATAAAATACCACAATAGAAGACTTATGTAAATCAACACAGACTAAATTTTACAGATAAATACCTTCTTCATCTTCCCACTCTAGATCCAAGGATGTGCTGTCATCGTTCCCACTGGTTGATTTTGTTTTGGTCATTAAGTCACAGCTGCTTTCTGTATTCGGTGTCAAAACTGTGGCATCGGAGGAGAGCCCTGGAATATGCAAGTACAGTCACACGCCACCCACAGGCTCACCCGGAGGCCACTGTGTGTGCCACGACTGTCTAACTCCAATGAAACAATTCCCAATTAATTCGCTGCTACGATTCTGTTAGGAACAGCACAAAGGGCTTTTCTGCGATCTTTTTCTTGGCCACCCAGGCACCGCAAACATGTACATTTAAGGAATTGTAAACTTTTCAGGTGTAACAAACTCAAGGTAATATTTCTAATAGCCAACTATAAAGAATAGAAATCAACAAAACACTATAAAATACATGAGAAGTGGCCTATATTTTTCAAAAGAAACAGTGAATGTGATTTTACTACGGGAAGCAGAAGCATCTTACCGTTGCACTGAAACCTGAAGAAACTGTTCGGCTTCCTTATTCCCTTCACGGGAGAGAGACTACCACCCTGGACAGGCCCTAACCGAGATGCCCAGCTCTGCAGCCAGGCCGTGGGACAGGGCCCGTCAGGGCAGACCTGGGAGGTGACCCTGGGCCTCCACGTGGTTCCCAGCGTTGAGCAGCAATGCCCTGACTGCCCACGCCTCCCTGCTGGGCGGGGAGCACGCTGACCTCATGAAGCTCCCTCCACTGCTGGCGGGGAGCACGCTGACCTCATGAAGCTCCCTCCACTGCTGGGCGGGGAGCACGCTGACCTCATGAAGCTCCCTCCACTGCTGGGCGGGGAGCACGCTGACCTCATGAAGCTCCCTGCGGTAAGTACGCACACTTCCTGTGCAGCCTTCCTCCCTCCTTCTCCAGGGGATCCGAGAGCCTGTCCTGGCCCCAACTCTTCCCCAGCAGGGACAGGACAGGCAATACGGGCTGAGCACCCCTTGTCCTAAAGGCTCGATCATGGAGCTCTGAATGTCAGACTCCTCGTGAGCTTGGAATACGTGCACGTGCAGAGTGAGGTACCCTGGGAAAGGGCCCACGTCTCACTGCCAAGGTCACTCATGCCTGACACACCCAGCGGGCACAGCACAGTGCGACGGTGAGGTGACACACGGCTGGTTTTTTTAATTTGCTGTAGGATGTGAGTGCTTGCTGGAGATGGGGGAGATGGGGGGGGATTGTCCCTCCTGAGGAATGGCCGTGCTGCCATCCCTTCTCCTCCATTACCCTCCTGGGATTTTTGCACACCCAGCATGTAATCTTGGCTTTTAGCCCTGCTTTCACACCCAGTATAAGAGTTACTTGATGCAGCTAATTCCTAATATTTTGGAAGTTCTATGAAAGTTCTAATCTGATTAGTTTTTGACTTTTCCCACTGTGTTTTCTCTGAGATATGTTAAGTCATTTAGCACTAATCTTTATGCTCTTTGATTTCTAAAATTTAGTATGTGGTGGTGTCATGTGGCACTCTACGAGTTCTGGATTTGGGGTTCTGACTAGAGATGTGCACCCTGAGTTATGTACTCAGTGACTAGTTATCTGACCTGCTTGGGCAATATAAACCGAAGAGCAGGCAGTTCTGCAGAGTCAGAGCCGAACAGCCCACAGCCCATTCAACGTGGCAGAGAGTTGACGTAAAATGTACAGAGAGTATTTTAGAACACTTACTACTACTTCGAAAAACCTCGTATTGTGATTTTACGTTTCTCAAACAAGATTCGAAGTCATCTTCTGGTCCTGAACTGTAAGAAAAGGAAATAATTCTTTGATGTGGTCACAGCAGTTCAACAGCAAATGCATGCTAGTGGCATCCTGGCCGCAGACCCAGCGCACGGCGGCCACACTCCTTTGCCACCAGAGAGCCTCGTCAGACGGATCCTCAGTCTCTCAGTGCTAGCAACTAGGGAAGTAGCCAGATTTCATAAATTCTGAGGTAGAATCTTTCAAGTGTAGCTTCCTCATTTACAGTGTCAAGTAAGAACATATTCTTTTCTTTTTTTAAGTAATGATACTCACAGAACGATGACACTGAAATGCCTCTCCCCCAAATGGCGCACACATACACTTTATTATGAGAAGAGAGGGCCAGTGAAGACCCACGCTGAGGACCCGACAGGAAGCATGCAGCCAAGGCATTGCTTTCTCTAAGGAAGATGTGACTACTCTAAAAATGCAACGGCCAGGCCAGCAGGTGGTGTGGTGTTTAAGGCACTGGACTCCCACAGCTGCTGGGCGGGGAGCACGCTGACCTCATGAAGCTCCCTCCACTGCTGGGCGGGGAGCACGCTGACCTCATGAAGCTCCCTGCGGTAAGTACGCACACTTCCTGTGCAGCCTTCCTCCCTCCTTCTCCAGGGGATCCGAGAGCCTGTCCTGGCCCCAACTCTTCCCCAGCAGGGACAGGACAGGCAATACGGGCTGAGCACCCCTTGTCCTAAAGGCTCGATCATGGAGCTCTGAATGTCAGACTCCTCGTGAGCTTGGAATACGTGCACGTGCAGAGTGAGGTACCCTGGGAAAGGGCCCACGTCTCACTGCCAAGGTCACTCATGCCTGACACACCCAGCGGGCACAGCACAGTGCGACGGTGAGGTGACACACGGCTGGTTTTTTTAATTTGCTGTAGGATGTGAGTGCTTGCTGGAGATGGGGGAGATGGGGGGGGATTGTCCCTCCTGAGGAATGGCCGTGCTGCCATCCCTTCTCCTCCATTACCCTCCTGGGATTTTTGCACACCCAGCATACACATATCTGCCCACTATGCTTTTTCAAGCCACTGGGCCCAGGCCTCGAATGGCAAGTCGGCCACGCGGCATCCGGCTGCCTGACTTCATGCCACGGCCGGCCTGTACCTGTTTTCATACTGCAGCGTCTGACTGTGACCTGCCATGGAAGGTCAGGTGTGGGATTTGTGGTGGTGTCATGTGGCACTCTACGAGTTCTGGATTTGGGGTTCTGACTAGAGATGTGCACCCTGAGTTATGTACTCAGTGACTAGTTATCTGACCTGCTTGGGCAATATAAACCGAAGAGCAGGCAGTTCTGCAGAGTCAGAGCCGAACAGCCCACAGCCCATTCAACGTGGCAGAGAGTTGACGTAAAATGTACAGAGAGTATTTTAGAACACTTACTACTACTTCGAAAAACCTCGTATTGTGATTTTACGTTTCTCAAACAAGATTCGAAGTCATCTTCTGGTCCTGAACTGTAAGAAAAGGAAATAATTCTTTGATGTGGTCACAGCAGTTCAACAGCAAATGCATGCTAGTGGCATCCTGGCCGCAGACCCAGCGCACGGCGGCCACACTCCTTTGCCACCAGAGAGCCTCGTCAGACGGATCCTCAGTCTCTCAGTGCTAGCAACTAGGGAAGTAGCCAGATTTCATAAATTCTGAGGTAGAATCTTTCAAGTGTAGCTTCCTCATTTACAGTGTCAAGTAAGAACATATTCTTTTCTTTTTTTAAGTAATGATACTCACAGAACGATGACACTGAAATGCCTCTCCCCCAAATGGCGCACACATACACTTTATTATGAGAAGAGAGGGCCAGTGAAGACCCACGCTGAGGACCCGACAGGAAGCATGCAGCCAAGGCATTGCTTTCTCTAAGGAAGATGTGACTACTCTAAAAATGCAACGGCCAGGCCAGCAGGTGGTGTGGTGTTTAAGGCACTGGACTCCCACAGGGCTGGCTGCAATCCAAGTCCTGGACCCACACCAGGTGCGTGACTGTGGTGTGGCCATCCCGGCCGGGGGATGATTTTCCATGTCCCCTCAGTGTCTTTCTCTGTCTCTCTCCGGCAAGTGCGTGCACTATATGGGGGTGGGAGCAGCAGCCAATGTACTGCGTCTTGGAAAAGCCATGCGCACTCCTCCCAGATTGCCAGTGGCCCCACAGAAGTGACAGCTGCTGCTCAACATAAAGAAGGCAGACGCTCAGTGTTCTTCCAAGACAGTGTCTTGGAGGAGCAGTCGTTTTAGGGACTCGCGCGTGAACATGCACAAACCTAGAGGGCACGGCACTGTCGCCACATGAGCGCTTCTGCCCAGGGCAGGCCGGACACCACTCACCTCGGCCAGGCCCCGCTGCTGGCAGGGTGGCTCTGCTGCACAGCTCTCCGCCTCTCTTGCTTTGGAAAATAATGTAACAGAAAATCAATCTGCTGTAAATTACAGTTTTGAAACCACTCTTGCCATGCCAGAAAGCATTTTTTACTAGTTTCTACAAAAGAAGAAAAACGTGTAAGTCACTGGATTTACGTCTTTCCTTAAACCACCACTATTCATGTGCATATCCTCTACTTACAGGTACAATTTCTCTCAATTGTCATCGTATACTCTAAGGGTGCTTAGACTATTCACAGCGTAGTAAAAAAAACCTTTCAGCAAAGATATTCTGGTGTCCTCAACATTCTTACTATACCTAATAAGTTCCTGATAACTGGGAGGATGAGAGCCAGAAAGGAATAGTTAAAACAGTACCTGAAATTCTATTCTGGGTAAAATAACAGCAAAACATCAAATGACCCGTAAGAGACCTGGCTGAGCTGACTGAAATGACAGAAGCGCCCAGCGACTCAGGACTGAGGACCCGCCACAGAAGCACGGGAACGGCCTCCCTGCTGCCCGAGTCTAGGCCACAGACTGCCACATCCCCATGAACTGCTGTGTCAGTGCGTGTTCTATGACTGCAACGTGTCCCCATGTCAAATGTGTACAGAAAAGAAAACCGCAGAGAACCCAGGAAATCCCCTGGATGGATGCTGCAGGTGGAATGTTTAAGTTTTTAAAAGGCAGTAGAGAATTTACACAAGTAGAAAGAATGCCTGCATGGTAACAGAAAGACTGACTGTTTCCTGGTTGGATGTGCAAGTTAGTTTTTAAATCTGTTACTATTTAGAATTAAAAAAGAAAATAAAGACACCTCCTTATAATAGTTTGCTGAAAAATGTGATAAAGAAAGAGAAAAGGAAAGGGAGGGTGGACACAGCCCAGAGAAACCACAGACAGCACGACAGACATGGTCTCCTGGCTCCCCGAGCTGTGTCTGAGGACCAGCTGCCTGGGGGAAGGGGGCGTGGTGAGCACACAGGCAACCTGAGGCGGCACCGGGAGGGCGACCGGCTGCTGCGCTCAGCCACGGCTCCGTCCTTCCTAGCAAGTTACAGAACACACCTGTCTCCTCAGACTGCTGTGAAGACCTGCAGAGGCCCTGACACTGGGCCACGCATGCCGTCTGCCGCTCACTACTGCGTGGTCGGCGGGGCGAACGTGCCTCTCCTGATACTATGACGAGACTTCTCAAGACCCAAATCCCACTCTCCTAGGGACATGGGAAAAAAATGCCGAGACGTAAACAATACCCTTATGGGGCAAAATCATAGAGCTTATGTGGTTCTAGGAAATATAAGAAATTCTAGCAGTTTAAAAAAATAAAGGGGACTGCAGGTGGCATGGTGGTTGAGGTGCTGGACTCCTGCATGGCCAACTACAGTTCGAGTCCCCAACCTGGTGGCTTGAAAATCATGCTGGGTGCATGTGTGCGCATGCCCAAAGTCCCAGGATGAGAGTGGAGGAGGAAGGACTGTGGCATGGCCACCTTCCCGGGGTGACCTCTCACTCTCCCTGCCTCATGCACATGCCCTATGGCAAAAACCCAAAAATAAATTTAGAAAGTAAAACTCAACGACTATTAAAATACCTGTGAAATTATAGCTAAAGGCTGGTTCTGTGTCATTTCCTGTAAGAGCGCGCTTATTCCCATAGGAAGGCCGAGATTCCGAGTGCGGCACTTCACTCGGGACACACAGAACCAGCCCTGCTTCCCCTAGGAGGACGAGCCAGAGTGCAGGACTGGCCGCCGACGGCGGGCTCACCGGGGCAGTGGGCCTTTCGCCACCTTAGGCGGCAGCTGGAAATACGCTGGCTGAGAAGCCTGATCTGGGGAGCTGGGTGCCGGTGCCCCTCACCTCCGCGCGCTTTCGCTGCTTCGCGGCCCTGGCCGCCGCACGCTGCGCAGCGTAGGAGGCCTCCTCTTCTAGTCTTAGCTCCTCCTCCTGAGAGGCTAACTGCGTGAACAGAACATAAGGGTGAACGGAACCAGAACCTGGCTAGCTGCTCTGAGCGGGAATGCTGCCATCTACGGAACAGAAATAAACCAGTGAGAAAATAACCCATCGCCACGGGGCCTAAGAGAGCGGAGATCCTGACGCCCATGTCAACTTCTTGTGCAGGTCGGCCAGGAGGTTCGTGCAGAGCCTGCCCTGCGAACCCGCTGGGCTGGCGCCCGCCCAGCCTCTCTGCAGAGCTGCCAGGTGCTGGGCGTCCAGAGCCTATCCCGACCAGTCCAACGGTCTGGCCCTCACCAGTCCTGTATCTTCAGTAAGGCGGTCGCAGCACGGTCCCCGAGCGAGCTGAAGTCCAGGGGTCCCCTTTCTGTGCAGCCCGGTGCACGGTCTCAACTCCATCTCGCGAACGGTCCAGGACAGCCACCATGCGCGGAGCACAGGGCTGCCTAGTGGGATCTGCTGCATCTCACCCTGACTTAAAGCCGAATCTTGTGAAAATCAAATCAAACTTTTTTCCTGGAGACTGATAATAGCATCCACTGTGTAGTTTAACGCTTTTCAAATGACTGATTGGTACTAAAAAGGCTATTTAAACATATGCACTAAGGCAGGACTCCACTCAGCTTGGTGACATCTAAGCTACTGGGTTGTTGGGAAAATCATGCGTGATGTATTTTTCTGTTTTTCTATGCAAAAATGTGTCACGACTTTTCCAACAACCCAGTATAACTATAGGACATTTCTATAAGCACATTAAACAAATGTAGCATTTTGACTGTTAGAAGAGTACTAAATTAGGTGAGAACAAATAACCCAACACAAACAAAAACACTTAAGAAAACCCACTTACTATGGAACAGAGTAATTTTTTTTTTAAAGTTGGTTTTATAAACAGAGGTGTGTATTGTTGTTAGTCTCTGCTTTGTGACTTAAGATTTATTATTTTTAAAAGAATGTACCAGCTTTAGTTTTTGGCCATGTATAACTTAAGTGGAACCAAATTAAAAGAAATTATAGTAGGCTTAAATAATTTTTTAGTTTTAAATCATTTCATTTGTATATATCTAAATATAGGTCCAAAGACTGGACACAATGTATTACTTAAATAATGACCCTCCCTTATAAACGGGGCATGATAATATATATTTAAGGAACAAAAAAGACTACCTCTTTTTGAATTCTCTCATCGAGATCTTTCTGCTTTTCAGCAATAGAGTCGTAGCGCCTCTCTCTTAGGTCGACAATCTCTTCCTCAGTAAGAGGCCTGCAGCAAACCACCAGGGAGAAAGCCAAGAAAGAATACTTCCGATGAACCCAAGTCCAAACTGACACTCAGAAGCCAGGGGCTTCTGAAATTCTGCTGTCAGAACATGCTACGCCAATCCGATGCCACTCCCAACAGTCCGAGTGACACGCACAGCTTGCATGGCTCGCCGTGCTCCAAGTGAGGAGTGAGCTGGACAGTGTCATCGGCACTTCTCTGCCCTCACCCGAGGACCATGGCAGTGAAGAGCAGGGTCTCCAGGCCCTATGTTCAGTCTTACAAAGAAAGAACCAAGGGTCTGACACGTGAATTGTTTGGTGTTGCCAAACAAGTGAACGACAAGCCTCAGTCTGAGAGCTCACACAGAAGACCCCCCTGGACTCAGAGCGCTCAGGCCCGCACAGAAGCCTTACCTGTGGCTGCTCCCTGGGCTCTCCCCCTGTACAAAAATTAATCCAACAATTAATTTTGCTAACTCGATTCTAGTTAAGGTAAGCCAATAAAATTTTCATTTAATCAAAAATATTATTTTTTTGAGAGATTTTTTACTATAGGGCATATGTGCTCACTGGAGAGACAGAGACAGACAGACAGAAAGCAAGAAATGCACCCCCTGGGGGATGGCCACCTGCAATCCCTTCTCCTCCTAGGATCTTGTGTACATGTACACACACACACACCCACCCGAGTTTCAAGTACTGGGTCTGGGACTTGAACTGTGGTCGGTCATATGGGAGCCTGGTGTCCCAATCACCATGCCACCTGCTGGCCCCAGTGAAAAACATTTTCCGCTTACTCTTATTTTTACTACAGTAAACAAGTCTCATTCTTTTTTTTTTTTTTTGGAGAGATTTTTGCTATAGGGCGCATGCGCTCGCCAGACAGAGACATAGAGACAGAAAGCGAGAAATCACCCCCCAGAGGGGATGGTCACGCCGCAATCCCTTCTCCTCCATTCTCCTCTTGGGATCTTGGGCACGCACGCACACACACCTGGCGTGAGTTTTAAGCCACCGGGTCCGGGATGTGAACTGCGGTCGACTACGTGGGAGTCCAGCGACATAGCCATTACGCTAACTGCTTGTTCCCAACAAGTCTCATTCTTAAGAAGCTGTAGAATCCTATTTCTCAGAGGCAAACTTCGGTTGGACACATGTGACCAGCACACGCTGTGTGTTTCCGAGTTCCTCTGACAGACGCCTGTCACCAGTCACCCAGCTCCCGCGGGTCTCGGGTGTCAGGACAGTGTGCTCACCACTTCAGGTGATCTCACTCCTGCAAACCCACCCACAGCTAGGCCTGAGGACACATCGAGAGTGGGAGACGCCCCTGCCTAGCGGTGCGCATTCCGGGGGGGACAAGAGAAGCCTCGCCTGCCTGGTTTGGCTCGCGTGGCCACCTTAGCCTCACCTGCTGCTGACTCGCCCCAGTGCAGTGCACCATGCTGCGTCAGATAAGCTCATGCAGGTGTGGTGGGTGCAAGGTCAATACCGATGGTGGGCGGGAAGCAGCCACCCTGTGCACGTGACTCAGGGCCAACGCTGGGCTCCCCGGGGCCACCCAGTCCCAGACCCAGTGGTTGGAAAATCACACTGGGCATATGTGCGGTTTCTCACTTTCCTTCTCTGTCTCTCTGTGGTGAGTGCATGTGCCCTATGGCAAAACATACAAAATAATAGCAATAATGATCAGACTAATAAGGGGCAGCCAGTGGGGCAGTGGTTAAGGCACTACATGGGTCCCACATGGCTGCATGCACAGCTTGGCTCTAGACCCAGTGGTTTAAGAAACACACCAGGCATATGTGTGCATGCCCAAAATCTGAGAAGAGGACAGAGAAGGGATTGTGGCGAAGCCATCTCCCACTCCACCTCTCTCTGGTAAGCATATGTGCCAAACTACGAAAACCTTACACATTTCCCTGATTCTAAAACGCACCCCCTCCCCAGTTTTAACATTTCTGTACTTGGGATGCATCTAATATTTGACAGTTTTATATGAAATGAAATGCAGTGAATCACCATAAGTAACAACTGATCAGAGGTAATGGTAAAGTCAGGAACTGTAGAAGGAACACGCATAAACTCCGCCCTCACAAAAGCGAAGGGTAAAGAACGGATCTAACTTGGACTATTGTAACGGAAGGGCATGAGGTTAGAAATACCCCTTTCTGAAGTTCCTTACTGTACAGAATGTTGGAAACCCGAGTGTGTGTGGGGGCTATTATGTCATATAGTAGAAAATTCTGAACTAAATACCCATATCAATAAGTGAAAGAAGGAAATGATACAGAAAGGACTAGAACATAGAAGTGAAAACAGAAAATTAGATTTCTGAAACATGATAAATTAAACTTTAAATGATTAACGACCAGAATGAGTGAGATGCTAAGTAAGAATAACGAGGGCTCGACGGCTCTGTGGCAATACTTACCTCGTCACTCTCTACTAGATTCTCAAACTGAAAGAACAGGAGAGAAGTGTTAGGAAGGAGCTTGCCCAGGGTGTGCACTGCACAGGGCCTCGTCGCTCCACAAAGTGACACACCTTCACGTTCAAAAGGCACTCACGAGCCTTCTCGCACGCCAGCTCACTGGGTGCATTTGACAGTCGGACACAATGGTGAAGCATGCATCTATTATTTTTATTTAGATTTATATGAAAACCAAAAGGAGAGTTACAGCAGTTTCCTACACAAATCAGGAACTTGGGTAAGAAAGTGTTCACGGAGCTGGACACCCCACACTGGCATCTCACACCTGCAGCCCAAGGTGCCCACTCACTTGGCTCAGAACAAATTATTTAATGTCGTAACAAGGAAAACGACTCAAGAAACAGGGACTGAAGAGCTACCCAGTGGGGAGTTCCCTGCGCGTCTGTGTGTGGCTGCCAGCTGGGCCACGGAAACCCACCAGATGCTCGTGGCTGTCCCCCAGTGCGGCGCTCGGGGTTGGGACACTCGATCCCGCTGTGGTGGGTGCTACGGTGCTAGACGGTGTAACAGAAGTCACCGTGTCAACTTCAAGGACCTGCATCTTATAAAACGTAAGTAACTGGGTAAACAGCCACTTGAAAATAAAGAACGGTGTTTCTGCCTGTCCTAGCCTCTGACGGCTCACCGGCTTCTTCCTATTGGCCACGCCGTGTGACCTTGTGAACTACGCGGCTGCCCAGCCCGGCAGTGGCCACGATAACGGCGGCTAACGTTTCACATGCCAGTGGCCGAGGCGAGGGTTCTGCTGTGGGTTGCTTCGAGCTGACCTCAGCTTAGACTGCTAGCTTCTGGCTGGACAGCGTCCCTCTGGGGTAGCTGCCTGAGCCCTACTGGGCAGCACGGACAGCCGGAGCTGTGCAGACTGAGGCAGAAAGCAGGCCTGTGGAAGAGCAGGGCAGGGCCGTGGCCACCTTGTCACCCGGCCCTCCCCGCCTCTGTATGCTGTCCCTCTCCACCAACTTCGTGAAACTGACGGGAAAGGGTCCTGCCAAACCGGGGTCCAGATCTCCCCAGCAAACCCAGGCCCACTGCCCTTGGAAAGGACTGCTACCCCAGTCCCTTGTGACCCACTCACCTCTATAGTCAAGTGCTCACCTCTCGAGCATGTTCTAAAATACTTAGATCTAAGAGAAAAACAGAAAACAAGGTTAAAAATCACAATCAACTCTAAAACTAAATGTAGTGCCATAAAGCACTTCAAGACAAACTCAGACATCTTATGCAATGTCTGTCAGACAGCAGGGTGGTATGAGGCCCGGGGCACATGGACGCTGGACAGCCGGGCGGTGTGAGGCCGGGGTTCAGGGACGCTGGACAGCCAGGTGGTATTAGGCCTGGGGCACAGGGATGCTGGACAGCCGGGCGGTGTGAGGCCGGGGTACAGGGACGTTGGACAGCCGGGCGGTCTTAGGCGGGGGTACAGGGATGTCAGACGGCCAGTATGTGTGGCCCCTGTGAAACAGACACTCATATCTACTTTTTTTTTTTTAGAAGTTTTTGCTATAGGGCGCGTGCGCTCGACAAAAAGAGACAGAAAGCAAGAAATCACCACTCCTCCCCAGGGGGGATGGCCATGCCACAATCCCTTCTCCCCCATTCTCCTCTCGGGATCTTGGGCACGCACGCACATGCTCCTGGCGTGAGTTTTAAGCCACCGGGTCCAGGACGTGAACCGTGGTCAACTACGTGGGAGTCCAGTGACATAGCCATTACTCCAACTGCTGGTTCCCTAAATGAATAATTCTTAAAAAACAAAAACAAAAACACCCTGTCATTAACACACCTATCAAAATGGAGAACAATACTGCGATCACCAGTCTGGGGCCTGCAGAGCATCCACAGCCGGCCCAAGTCACGGTAAGTCTGTGCACCAACTACGTTTGCTTGAGGGAGTGCTCAGCTGCGGGGCTTGGGCCACAGCCTCCCCGGCCCATGGTCTTAGGCCACTGGTTTGTGGGGGCAATCGTGTCGTCCAACTTGCAGAAACTCTCATTTCTGGAAGTAGCTGACATTTTTTCTTCACGGTGTTCTAACTTTTTCCTCTAACCCTTAGTTCCTGCAAACCGGCTGTCTGGTTTAAAAGCCTGCTTATTCCGAGGTCAACTTCGCATGCAGCACTTACTCTAGTCAAACCACGAGGGCTAGCGGTGTGCCCCGCCTGTCCCAATGTGAAGACCGACCTGAGGCCCCGGCCCGTCAGGCTCACCTCTATCATGAAGCTCCACCCTGGGCTCCAACCAGCCAGCGCTCAGCATCTGCAGATGAGCTCAGCCATGCTGCTTTGGAGGGTGCACGGTCACTAACTACTGCACACTCGCTACTTCTAGAGCCTGACCTGGCATGTTCTCAGAGCCATGGCATGGCGGGGGCGCCCGGTGGTGCAGACCTGTTCGGCATCAGGGCGTGCACAAAGGAGATGCAGGATGCCTCCGGTGTTCACTGGACCTGACCGATGGACGAGTATGGAGGTGCCATTTACCAGGAGGAGGACGACTGGGACAGGAACAGGTCTGTGCCGTTAGGCCCCAAGTAGGACACTCACACAAAGTTAGAGCCTGGGTGACAATCCGCTATTAAAATCCCAACCCCTGGGATGCTTCTCAACATCAGATCAATAAAAGCACTCTTCTTTTTGACTGATTTTATGTTATGTTGTTTTATTTTATGTTATTTTTGCTATAGGATGAATATGCTTGCCAGAGAGCGAGAAATCATCCCCAGGAGGATTGGCCACAATCCTTTCTCCATTCTCCTTTGAGATTTTGGGCAGGCATGCACAAGTGCCTGGCGTAATTTTCAAGTCGCCGGGCCTAGGATTTGAGCCATGCAGCTACTTGCATGCCACCCGCCGGCCCTCTGTCTTGTTTAACCTGTCCCAGGGTTGGCTGGCTGTGGTGCCCGCTGTCTACACCTCGCACATGCACCTGCTGCTCTTGCAGGCTTCCCTTCGTGGAGCGTGGCCTACTCCCAGGGGACAGAGTGAGCGAGCTCTCAGTAAGCTGGAAACTCGGACACAGAAGTTAAAACTACAAACGCAACACAGAATGGATAGTTACAACGACAGGCAAAATTGCCTTGGGGAAACAGAATGGTGTACAGTTTTAAGATTTAAAAGAAAAAGGAAGTTAATAACAACCTTAAAAAAAAAAGTCTTGGGACCAGCAGTTGGCGCAATGGCTGTGTCGCTGGACTCCCATGTAGGCGACCGCAGTTTGAATCCTGGACCCGGTGGTTTCAACTCACACTGGGCACTTGTGTGCGCGTGCCCAAGATCCTGAGAGGAGAATGGAGAAGCAATTGTGGCGTGGCCATCCCCCCTGGGGGGTGATTTTTCGCTTTCTGTCTGTCTCTCTGGTGAGCGCATGCGCCCTATAGCAAAAACCTCTCCAAAAAACAACAACAACAACAAAATAGTGTTGAGGCAAAGAGAAACAAACATCGGTGGGGTCCCTCTGAAACCTGTCTGCCAGAGTCCCGCTGTGGGCTGAGCCAGCTGGTCCCCAGGGCAGGTGGTCCTCAGGTGGCAGCTGTCTGGGTGGCATCTGCTCAGCATTTACTCCGAACCCCCTCACCAGCCATCTCCCCCACTATTGTCTACTCATGGTAAAGAATGTCCTTGCCTAACGATCTGAGTACACACGGTCCCTTGACGGTTATGTTTCTCATTTTAAATAGCTACATTTAGCTTTTGTTTTTCTATATCTGATCCAAAAAGGCTGAAAGTGAGAGTCTAGAACGGAGTCACCACTGTGGTCACCCAGACAAACTATGTATTAACGGGACAGCAAAACTGCCCACGGGGTAAACAATTCCAGGACTGCCTAGCAGGCCCCTAACGTCCGTGCGGTAGTGCTGCGGTCTGTCCCTGAAGTCCGTGGGTTGTGCTGCGGTCTGTCCCTGAAGTCCGTGCGGTAGTGCTGCGGTCTGTCCCTGAAGTCCGTGCGGTAGTGCTGCGGTCTGTCCCTGAAGTCTGTGCGGTAGTGTAGAGGTACTGCAAGCAGGTGCTCTTGACCTTGTCTTCAAAAATGAAGCCTCAGCTGTATGCAGGGCAGAAGCCACATCGGAGGGAGAAATCACAAAGAAGCCAAGTTGGATTCTAGTGTAAAAGCAGAGCTTGGTACCAGCAAAAGCACAGTTCCGGCCGCCTTCCGCAAAAGCTGTCTTGAGACAGACGACAAAATGAAAGCAGCCTCGTCTTCCTGCAAAAGTCGACTCTTGATCACTCTTAGTTTAGAGAACTAATAAGAACAGTTGGCTGTCTTTGATTTGGAAAGAAACCAAATCAATACTTTATCGATTTCAAGGACGGAAGATCCTGCCAAAGCCTGCTGCCGCCATCACAGAGGGGCGCAGGCAGGGCCCGCTGACTCAGCACCCACGGAGGACAGGCTGAGAGTGCCCAGGAGGCGAGGCCCCAGCGCTGTGCCAGCCAGAGCAGGCGGGCACCCCTCGTTCTCATCAAACACCGGGAATGGGGTCGGTCTAACCTTAAGAGCAGGGCAGTAACTGAGCTCTTCTGCACACGCAGCTGGGGCGGCACACCGGGGCGGCATGGACAAACACCTCTGGGCCCGCCCGGCCCTTCCCGCCACGTGCAGGCCACGGTCCCCAGCAGGAGGGCTGGGTGCTCTGCCGGAGTGCGACCTGGAACCACTGAGGTTTGCTGCAGTAATGCTGGCACGGCTTCCAGGGCGCTGCTTGGTGGGACTGTGTTGCCCACAGACGGCTTCCTGTCCAGGAAGAGACTGCAAGAGCTGTTTCACTAAATATCAGGGTGAATAAATATGGCGACACTTGAAAGAGAGCAGGTCTAATACTTTCTATCATAATCTCTTAAGAAACTAAAAGTAAAGGAAAATAGGAATCCCACTTCTTCAGACCTACTGCTAGTACATAAATAGGTCACTGTACAAAACTCCTCTAAATTTACCAAAAACAATTATAAATTGATACAGATTTGAAGATCACTGTGTTACGCAAAAATTGTTTAAAAATAAAAACAAGAAGTTAAAAACCGGTATTTTCTGCTTCCATATTTTTAACATTTGATTTAAGCAATTTCAGAATTAATTTCATTTAAAATAATGTAACTCCACAAGAAAACTCTCAAGTTCCAACCAATCCTCGCCAAAACTCTCGCGTGTGAATGTGGGCAGGGCATGAGGGAGGGACAGCAGCACACCTAGGGAGGTGGCTGACGGGACAGAGGAAGGCCGGGAAACCGGAGGACGAGCAGTGCACAAGCCACACGTATGAGACGTCCACGGCCAACGGGAGCCACGTCCCACAGAGCTGAGTATGGGCCGAGTCCTGCTTCGGGGACTGAGAGAGACGGGTGCACTTGTATGTATGTCGGGCCAGAGGTTTCTCCTTGCTTGCCAGCGCACATGCCCTCTGGCGACTAAAGCAGGGAGCCGGCCACACAGACAACTGCACAACCCAAGCCCAGGCCTGGGGCTGGAGAGATCCGCTGGGCAGGGGCATGGGCACGGGCAGGAGCGCCCAGTCCCCGAGGGGAGGAGGAAGGACTACAGCGGGACACGCCCCAGAGGGTGCTTTCTCACTTCCTCCCTCTCTCTGCTGAGTACATGTGCCCTCTGGCAAAATTAGGAAAAACGGGACCAGCAGTTGGCATAATGGCTATGTCGCTGGACTCCCACGTAGTCGACTGCAGTTCGAGTCCCGGACCCAGTGGCTTAAAACTCATGCCGGGCGTGTGTGCGTGCGTGCCCAAGATCCCGAGAGGAGAATGAAGGAGAAGGGATTGCAGCGTGGCCATCCCCCCTGGGGGGTGATTTCTCGCTTTCTGTCTCTCTCTTTCTGGCAAGTGCACATGCCCTGTAGCAAAAAGCCTTTCCAAAAAAGAAAAAAAAATACCAGAAAATAAAATGCTGTCCTAGAGGAGCCAGTGGGGACAACGGACCCAGGCAATCAGCCTCGAGGACAGAAACTAGGACAGCCTGATAGCAGCCAGGGCTCAGTGGGGTCAGTGATAGCTGTGGACGGACCAGAAAGCACTCAGAAGATAAAACATAATTTGGTTTGGGGGAGAGACCAGGACTGAGAGGCAATGGGGAAGAGTATCGGAATCCGAGGCGGGCCTAACAGGAAGGGAGGGGGGCTTATGGCACGAGAACGAGGGACAGATGTGACACCAAGCCTGGCCCGCCAGGAGGGAAAGCGCAGGACAGAGCAACTGAGGCACTTCTTGGAAGAGCCCTCCTCCAGGAGTACAGCTGAGTCACAGCCCGGATGCGTCCCTGGAGGTGCGGAGGTGAGTGGCCACGTGGGCCATGCCACCCCCACTCCAGGGAGCTGCACTGGGGAGTGATCAGATGACCCCCGAGCCTGGAGACGGCTCCCGAGCGGCAGTTCCCCCTTCCTTGAGGGGGTAGGCCTCCCGTATGCCAGGCCTCTGCACACACCCCGCAGTGTGGGAGCAGTGTGACACGGCAGCCCGTGGGTGTCAGGGACGGGGTGGCACAGGATGGATGGGAGCGTGTGAAAAGCGATGTGGTACTGCAGAGATGCATCAGTGCTCACCAACGGAGGGAGCAGGACAACCTGCCATTAAATTAGGGTGGCTCGGCACGAAGGCCAGGCTGGGGATGCAGCCTGCAGTCTCCGCTTCTCCTCCCATCTGCCAGCAGGTGAACGCTCTTTTATACCAAACTGACCTCAGTGAGAGGGAACTGAAGACCCCACAAATTTTACATTGGTGTTACTCCTTTCTTTCATGTTCTTCTGTGTGGAACTGTTAAGTAAAAGAAGAAAGTCATTCCCTGTATCTTTCATTTGACACCTGCTGCAGGGAAGAGCGCACCCAGGAAGAGTGCGGTGACACGGCAGCCCAGGGCTGGCCCAGCAGGGAAGAGCGCACCCAGGAAGAGTGTGGTGAGCTTCAGGACAGAACCGTCTCTAACAGGACGTCCGAGAGATCCTCACCCACTTCAATCGACACTAGTCTTCCTCCTGACTTCTGACATCCAAGAGAAACTTCTGTTTTTCACAGCTGATGTCCATGGAGGAAACCAAACACATCTTAATCGTGAGGCGCCGACTCCGGCACCCAGGAACATACACTGTGACAAAGCTAACGTCTCTCCTAGGTCCCGTATGTGGTCTCAGAAAAACAGCGAGTGGGCCAGCCAGGTGCTGTGCTGTGAAGGTGCCGGGGTCCCACATGGCTTACCACGTGATCTGAGACCTGGACCCCACAGCTAGAGTGACACGCCAGGCACGTGTACATGCATGCCCCAAACCCCACTGGGGAGAAGGGACTGTGGGGTGGCCCCCTCCTGGGGGGTGCTCTCGCTCTCACTCCAGTGACTCAGTGATTGCACACGCCTGCAGTCGAAGAGTTGACATAAATTGGGCAGGGCACGTGTGCAGGTGTGCAAGTGTACGAGGCTCTGCCAGGAGGCAATTACGCTGAGAGCTGAACCGGTGAAGCCCTGCACACCCGAAGTGCATAACAACACTCTCCTGACCAGCCGGCCAGCCAGCACGCAAGCCGAGGGTGGGAGGAGGCAAAGACATTGTGCCGTCCCCGAGTGTGAGGCACGCTCAGGTCACATCACGGCACCGGGAGAGGGTGGTACTGGGCCGGTGAGCCACAGCTGGCCCTCTGCCTGCTTCTAGGCACAGTTCCACAGGAACTGGGCCATGCCGGTTTGTGGACACGCTGTCTGTGGCTGCTCTTCTGCATAAGCAGCGAAGCTGGTGGGTGTGACAGAGACTGCATGGCTGCTGGGCCTGAGACATGTGTCACCTGGCCGTTCTCGGGAAGGTCTGCCAAGCCCAGGGCAGAGCCGGAGAGCAGCCTGGAGGAGCCGCGTTTCCTCAGGGGCTGGAGCAGGTTTCAGAAGTCATCCTGAAGATAAGCTAAAGCTCACCAAAAACAGGAAGAGAGGCAGGAGGACGCAGGACACCTAAAGGCCAGTGAGTGTGAGCGCTGCGCCCGAGGAACACAGGGACAAGCTGTCCCAGGAGGCCGAGTGGGACACAGGGACAGGGTGGCAGAGGACACAGGTAAGACAGATGGCGGTTAAGTGCCTCCCTGAAATGTACAGCTGACACTCTATCCCGGTGGAGGGTAATCATTTACCAAAAATGTTAGAGTACAAAGATTCATGAATGAGTTAAGTCTTTGGGAACCTGAACACTTCAATGTCGTCACTACCCTCTTCCTCACGGACCTGCACTCCGGCCTGATGTTCAGGACGAGCGAACACAGCCCGTCCTAGATCCCAAAGCAGAGCCGCGCAGCACCCTGGGGATGCCACGTGGGTGTCGTGCTGCCTGGGAAGGAGTCAAGGCTGGAGTTTAGCTCTGGGGAACAGGAGGTGAGTGGGGTCGTTAGTGAGTGGATGGCAGATCTGGCCTGGGCTTTGCACAGGACTGCAGGGAGGGAGGAGTGCGAGAGACCGAGGAGAGCAGCCAGAAGCCACTGAGCAGGAGGTTTAAAAGGCGACATTTAAGGCAAAGTGCAGAGGATGGGAGTGAGCTCGACATGTGTGAGGGGACTTCAGAAAGTCTGCATAGATGGAATTAAAGTACGAGTTTATCTTGCTGCACTGAAATCCAGGCAAGTTTTTTCAGAATATGTGTTCTCCACGAACCATAGGGGGGGATTAAACAGTGCACACAGGACAGATAGAGAGCACTCTCCAGTACCCAACTGAAAACACATGCAAGAGGTTTGTGAGTGGCAGTGTGTGAGGCCAGGAGTGGCTAGGATGTCTCAGGGACAGATGGTGTACACATGACAGATGTTAAGGAAAGCAGAGGGAAGCTCCGAGCTTAGGCCAGCGAGGTAAGCAGTCCATAGCACATAGGACTGCACTGCTAGAAGCCATGGCGCCAACTGGGCGTCTGGAGAAAGGGGGTTATGACGAGATGAGCCCCTGGGGAGGAGCTTCTCAGTGGGTCTCTCTTTCACTTGTGAACACACTTGCCTCTATCATAAAAATCAAAAAAAGTACACTAAGGAAGAACCAAAAAGCCTTCCATATTTACTAGAATCAGACAAGCCAAGAGAGAAACGGGAAACGACGTGCTGTCAAGGGCAGTTTCAGGAAACGCAGAGGCGCTCACCGCACAGAGCAGGGAGAGTGGCCGTGAGTCCTGGGGTCCTGGGCCCTCTCAGTGGCAGTGGGAGAGTCCCCTCTGTCACCTCCCCGACTGCCCCAGGGATGGATGCGGCTAAGTGAAGTACAGGAAGTGAGCACTGGCAGCTGTCACCAAGGCCTGTCCTACTAGAGGAGAGCAAATCCTCCTGGACCGGAACTGCAACCTGGAGGCAGCTCTGCACCAAGCCCAATGCTCACCGCTCACCGTGGAGGAGGACGCCGACGCCCCACTGTGTGCACTTCGCCCGAACTGCTCCCACTGTGCGCATCTGTACAGAAACACCACTGAGACTTCCTTGTCCGCATACTTAGGACCCAAAGTGTTTCGGAATTTTTCAGATTTTTTTGGATTTTGGAACATTCACATATACATGAGTCATGGGGATGAGGCCCAAACCCACATGTGAAGTCCATCCATGTGTATGTTCCTCACGGTCAGCCAGAAAGAGACGGAGTGGTATTTCTGAGCCGCGGTGTGGAAAGCAGCCTGTCCATGAGGTCAGGGAGCGTCCCGCTAGCTTATGGAGCTCTCTGGAGTCTGGACCCAGGATGCTCACTGACAGAGACAACGGGACCTCACACACTACACATCACGGTTCCTTGTTCCTGGGTGTGCGGAGCAAAGACCACGGGGCAGGAAGGCCACACCAGACTGGTCCAAAGGAAGCCGAGAGCGACCAACAGAGGGAGCCAGGCTGAGTGGCCAGGGGACAGGACCCACTGCCTGGTCCCAACTGTTCCCTGCAGGCACTTATGGCCTGGGGCTCAGTCCCCAGTAACTCCATCAGCATAAGGTTTCCAATCACCTGGACACTATGGTTTCACTAGTCCACAGATACTCTGCTCCATAATGTGCACTAGAATGCACCGTCACCAGAAGCCGGTGCTTCTGGCTCTGTGCCTACATGGTGTGATGTCAGGGACCTGATTCTGAACCGCCTCTGGGAACCTGCAAATCTAAGAGCCAGGCAGGGGACCATGACAGCCAAGGCCCAGCAGGTCCAGCCTGTCCCACCTATGAGGGCCGGACGTGCTGTCCCACCTGTGCGCGCCCTGGTGACAGGCAGAGCATGCGGGGTTTCTGTGAGCACTCTGACCTCTTCACACTGGGAAGAACAGTACTTAACAACCCAGACTGCCACTGGATGAAAACAGCACTAGGGGATCAAGACAAACCTCACCCACACAACTGCAAGCAGAGACAGTGCTGAGCCCGTGTGGATAGCGGCGGTCCGCATGCCTGCTGCCAGGGTCTGAAAACATAAAAACCAACGCTGAACAGGCTGCTCAGACGCTCACGGCTCCTGCAGAACATGCACGCACACCCGGCCTGCACGCACACCCGGCCTGCATACTCATAGCTGTTCCCTAGGCGAGCTGGCTGGCTGGCTGGCTGGCAACTGCGAGGGGGCCAGGCCCCACACCAGATTGAGCCCTCAACTCCGGGAAAAGGAGATACCAAGGTGGTCCTGACAAGTCCGTTCCGGGGAGGAGTAGTCGGGCGTATTTGTTAAGATGTCCATTACCAAAGGCTAGAATGTAAGGTCATTGGCCTTCAGTTTGTTTCTATAATACCGTTGGTTAAACGGGACAAATCCTGCTTCCGAAAGTGCAAGTTGTCTCATACAACGCGGCTTGGTTCGGATTTCCGATTCCAGGTCTGAATTCCTGGGAGATATTTCTTAACAACAATAAAGCCTACTCCAAAGGAAATCTGTCCTAACTTTTTCAATATCCTAGGAAATGAAAAACAGAGCTGTGAAACCCTACTCGGCAGCGGGGGACGGAAAACCAACGCATAGCAGTGGACCAAGAGGGGCGGCGACCTGGGGTCCAGGGCACGTGGGTGGCGACTGCGCGGGGCCCTCCCCTCCACCTGGAGGGCCCCGAAATGCGGCAGCGGGGCAGGGGCGCGCGGGTCAGAACCTCACCCGCCCCCCACCCGCGGTCGGGCTGGAGGACCAACTCCGGACACGGCCGGGGGCCCCCGGGGGTCCCCGGGG